TGCAAACTGAAAGGAAATGGCACAATGATGCAAGTGCCCATTGGGCCTGTTGAAGTTGGTCCAGCTGGATTATAAATTAAAGCCCAGCTTGTGTTTTTAATGGAGTAGAGAAAACGTGAATTGAAGAGGCTGAAATTGTGTTTTACCCTTACCTGATGAAATGGACGCTGATGGAGTCACCACGTGTCGCCTCCAACACCGTTGGATGGGCGATTGTTGAGTGAACCATTTAAAAGGCTCTTCTCTAGGGTTTGAGCTCACAACTTGGTCTTCAAGATTCTTCTTTTCTCTCACTCTCTGCATCGTTCTTCGAGTTCTCTCTTCTCTTCACTGATGAAATCAAATAATATCATTTGATTTCTTGTTTTCTTTTAATAGCTTGTAATCTTGAGTGATTTACCTGTATTGAGTATTGATTTTTGAGTGAATCGAGTTATCTGAGAAGAGAGTTTCTTTTATGATATTTAGGGCTTGTCTGAGTGTCGATCTTTGTAATCTTTACCTTGGGGTTTGATTTGAGCATTGTGGTGTTCATTCTTGTGTGATTGAAGCAAGGATTGTATGAAACTTTAGCCTGTGGGCTTTTATAGTAAAGATAAGTTTCTGTTCATAGTTTTCAGTCATTTCTTGAGCTGATTTCTTGTTTGAGTTTGCTGTTTATTGTTCTTAGGCTTTCAATTTCTGATTGTTGTTAATTTTGGTTTACATTTAGTTGTTTGATCTTGAGCTAATCTGTTGATCTCCTCCCAACAGTGGTATCCGATTGATTGGAAAGAGCATTTGACTGTGTAGTGCTCGATTCTTGATACTGATACTGCAAACTTAAGATGTTCTGTGTTTTTTCTTGAAACCCTAATTAAAGGGGCTCGGTGAGATCTTTACAGTTTGTTGGGTAATCACGTTTTTCTTTCCAACTGTATATTGTGTTGGGTGTTCTGAATCAAGTTTGGTGTTTGACCTTGTGTGGTTATACTACCTGATTGATTATATTGCCCTATTGGTTATACTGCCTCGGTTGAAGCTTTTATTGCATTGTGGGTGTTCTGCCTTGTGAAGTCTATTCAGTTTTGCATTTTTTGAAAACTTGAATCAAAAACTCCTCGTAATTCCTTTGTCCAGAAAGGTAGAGTTGTCTGGAATCTGAGAGTTACTTGGACAAAAGTCTAGATTCTTGATAGTCCCGTTTCTCTGAAAATCACTCTGCAGTATTTCTAAGCTTGATTGAATTCTGTGATATAATTCTGAAATTTGTGCTCTCTGTTCTTGCAATCTAAATACTCTGATGTGTCCCTTGTGTGGTAATACTTCTCTGATCTGCATTGCAAGTTTCTGATTTGGTGTCTGATTGATCTGCATACGTCCATTTCATTCATATTTTTTCAAAAAAAAAAAAA